ATTAGCTAAAACTATTTAATGATATTTGAATTTTCATCAAATATCTATAGAATGGTAATAAAACAATGAAATTTTGACTAAAACAAATAAATATTTTTGAGAATTTCCGCGACTGTCAAGCGAAAAAATGCCCTTTAAAATTTTATATACTAAACAAATAAATATTTTAGAATTTCGCGACGTCAGCAAAAATGCTTTAAATTTTATATATTTATTACACATATAGATATAAATATTATGAGAAAAATAATTATATATATTAAATTTGATAATACAATAGGAGAAAACACATCAGATTGAATAATTGCATTTTATTTAAAATTTTTGTACTATTTAGTATAATTCATGTACTGGTTCATAATCCATGGATTTACATATTTAATGGATTCAATTAGATTAAAAAGTTATATATACGCCAACCCGTCATGGGTACTTTAAATTAATAAGCTTGATTCAACTTTACACATGTGCAACCTAATAATTACATCATAATTTCAAATATTTTATATATTTTGCAATTTAATATTTCAATTGCCGGATGTTTAATAAATTTAAACTTAAGAAATTGATTTTTTCAGAAACAAAAATTGAAATTGTTAATCCTCAATGAATCACTGAGTAAAAAGATTGCTATTGATTGCATAAATTTAAATGGCATGCGATAAAACTTCTGTTTGTATCCTGAATAAATAATAAATGACGGAGCTATATATAATATAAAAAAATAATTAATTTAAAATAAATTGTAAGTAACAGAAATAAATAAAATGCTATAGCAGATGACGAAGTCTTTTATCTTTTTTTTTTTTTTTTTTTTTTTCTTATGGGGAGAATTATTACACATAAATTAACCATTTAATAAATAATTGATAGAGTATTTGGATTTATAAATAATATAAGTATTTGGATTTATATTTCCTAAATAACAAAATATAAAAACACAATTATAATATCAAAATTCAATATTTTATTTTAAATAATTGTTTATTTAAACAAAATATAAAGAAATTTAAAAAATCATTTCATGAATTATTTTGCCCCGTTAACATTCGAGGGGAGGTTAAATTAAACTATTTTATTTATTCTTAAGTTGGGCCTGCAATTATATCATATGATGATGATGAAGCATCTATTAAATTGGCAGTCTAATGGGCTAAATGGTTAAGTTGGGCTTTTCTGGTGGCCCAATAATACAAATTAAAAAAAAAAAAAATTTTTGAAATATATATATTATTATTCTCTTTTGATTGCAATATAACATTAGCAAATTAAATAATCATACAAATATTTCCAATTTCAATAGGAGATTGATTCGAGAAATCCAAATCATAATACAAGACAAATTTATTATGATCAAGATCAAATTTATTATGACAGAGGGAGATAGCTCGAAAACTGAAATATGATTTGAAAATAATTAATTTTGGATCCAAATAAACTTCAGTTATCTGTCGGAATCACTAAAATTGTACTTGCATATATAGCAATTTGTTTGAAGGCAAGAGTTGAGGGAAGCGCCTTTTTAAGGAATGGTAGGGAATCTTGTGTATTAAGAGATTACCAGATCAAGGTTAAGATGTCAATCTATATATTTTCTAACACACTTTAAAACCTGAAATTCACTTTTGATTACAATTCATTATTCATTATAAATGGGAAGAGTACAACCATGAAACTTATGTAAATACGGTGAATGAATGCTAGAACTCAATAGTATCTGGACAAGGGTACACAGAGTATTATGAGAACTCATAACCTTGGGACAATAAAGAAACATATTGTCGACAAAAAAAATAGTAGCAATTGGGTGGTAGGGGAGGATGCAATTTCTATAGTAGTTAAACCATACTTTCGAGGCGTCACAATTAATGGGATTTATAATATATCAAAAGGTGCAAAAGAAATATTGTCGACAAAAAAATAGTAGCAATTGGTGGTAGTCAATTCTATATAGTAGAACCATACTCGACGCCAATATGGATTTATATACAAAATTGCAACTATTCCCAATAATACTATGATGTAAGATACCACAAAACTCACATAGAAAACACCCATGTCGATGAAGCCATTTTCTTCTTTTTCATCCGTTGAAGTTGTTGGCATCAGTGGCGGAGATGTGGTTGTATCGCAAGGCTTTGGAAGAGGTAATCCACAGAGGAAAGAATTTCCCTCATAACTGCCTTGTTCAAATGTTGCAAATTGACCAACCCTCTCAGGTGTCTTGCCAGATAAATTGTTATGTGCTACACTAAAAATTGCTAAAAAATATAATTGAGTAAGCTGAGAGGGAATTTTTCCTTCCAAATTATTATAAGAAAGATCTAAACTCTCGATTTGCCTCAAATTTGAAAATGTTTGTGGAATTGGTCCAGTCAAAATGTTATGAGACAAATTCAACACTTGGATTTCACTAAGATTTTCAATTTCAGGTGGAATTTCTCCTGAAAATTTGTTACAAGAGAAATCAATGCCTGAAAGATATAGGAGGGTTTCCCATTGGTAAGAATAAGTTGCATTTTTATTTGTAAATTCTAAAGGTTGCATAGGTGATGGGTAAGGAGGTTGAAGTTCAGGCTCTCTAGACCAATCACTATGCAATGTCAGACATGGGAGAATATGACCAAAAAGATTATTATGAGAAAAATCAATCAAACTTAGTTCTTGTAACCCACATAATTTAATTGGAAGTTCACCAATAAAATTATTATGACTTAACAAAATATAGCTCAACGTAGAAATGTTGACAATCCATGTTGGAATTTTTCCTATCAACTTATTATGGCTTATGTCTAACACCTTCAAACTATAACAATCACTAAAAACATTTCTGAGAGATCCTTGCAGCTTATTTTTTGCCAAATAAATTTCTCTTAGGTAAGAATTAGGGCAAAAATTGGATGGTAAGCTTCCAGAGATACTATTGAGTGAAAGATCTAAAATTTCAAGAGAAGACATATTTCCTATCCATTTTGGGATATTTCCAAAGAGATGGTTACCACTCACATCAAATATTGTCAAACTAGTACAGTTAGACAAACTATTTGGTATACTTGTGCTCAATCGATTACCATCCAGAAGTAATTTTTCCAAATATTCCAAGTTAGCACTCTCAGGAAATATTTGTCCTTGCAAAGAATTATCTGAAAGTATAAGTTCATCTAATGAGATACAACCCATGATCAACTGCTCTGGTATACTACCTGATAAATTATTGTCGGATAAGTCTAATTTTGTCAATAAGCTCATATTTCCGAGTGAAGAGGGAATGTTTCCATTCAAACCATTTCTTCTCATGTTTAAATCTCTCAACTTTGGAAAATATATTCCCATTTTTTTTGGAAGGTACCCATACAAGCAATTATCAGAGACATCCAGTATTGATAAATCCAAACCATTTTCTTCTCATGTTTAAAATCTCTCAACTGTTTGGAAATATATTCCATTTTATATTTTGGGGAAAGGATAACCATACAAGCAATTATCAGAGACCATTCCCAGTAATGGATAAATTATCAGAGACATCCAGTATTGATAAATTCAAAAGAGAATGAGTAGGTAACTGAAAAGACCCAGAAAGAGAATTATTGGCTAAATGAAGTTGCTCTAGTTTTGTATTATTCTCTAACAACCAATTTGGAAAATTCCCTTGAATTCTATTGTGTGAGAGATCAACTACTTGTAGGTTATACTGATGATGGAGGAACCCGGGAAGCTTTCCACTACCATATAAATGATAGCTAGATAATTTGAGAATGTCTAGTTGAAACTTTGGAGTCAAATTATGATCATCCATTGCCACATATATTTTATTATCTTGACAATCCAAATAATTGAGCTTTGAATGGTTGAAAAATGGAGAGAGCGAGATTGGGATTTGAAAGAGATTTCCAAAGAGGTTTATGTGTTCAAGGGATGTTAAACTCCTAAGAGGAGATAAAGCAACATCTCCTATAAAATTATTATAAGAGAGATCTAATAGTTTAAGGGATGTCAAATTTGCTAGACACCATGGCAAGCTACCATTGAATTGATTTCCGCTTAAGTCTAGTTGCTGCAGATACTTTAATTCACAAATAAAGCAACATCTCCTATAAAATTATTATAAGAGAGATCTAATAGTTTAAGGGATGTCAAATTTGCTAGACACCATGGCAAGCTACCATTGAATTGATTTCCGCTTAAGTCTAGTTGCTGCAGATACTTTAATTCACAAAGACCTGAAAGTTATAAATTTATAATAAAAATAAAGATTTAATTAGCTAAAATCTCTAACTTTTTGAAAGAGATGATACAACATAGAGAGGGGATTTTCTCAAATATACCTCTGTCGGTAGGTATGGATCCAGTGAGTTCACAATATTGCAATGATATAGTTTTAAGATTCCTCATCATTCCAATGCTTTGTAGATGAAAGCCACTCTCGATAGTAGAATAACTTAAGTCCAAATGCTCTAAGTTTTTGAAATTAAGCAAGTCTATCAAAATACCAAAAAAGTAAAGCGTGTGAAATAATTGAAATAAACAGAAGAGTAATTGCCAACAAGCTAATTTACAGTATAAGTTAACTTAATTACCTTGACCAAATGATGTTGCATTGAAAATTTCGCAAAAGCGTAGAGATAGGGCTTTGAGATAGGGGAATTTCCCCAAGGATTCTACAAGATGGCTTCTTCCATCTATGGTGATAGAATCTAGAAGGAGACTTAAGTTGCTTAGACTTCTTTTATCTGCAAGTGAGAATAGAATCTATGTATGTCAATAATTACCAAAACACATATTAATCAAGATTGTAAGTGCACCTGGTGGGTCCACAAATTTTGTAATGTTGTTATTTCCACTCAAGTCCAGCTCCTCTAAGCTTTTTAAGGTTCGTAGTTCTGATTAGTAAAAAAAAAAAAAAGACTAATTAGATCATTTAATTATACACAATTTTCTATTCAAATTATTTTAAACTGAATCATAATGAGAGGGAAAATAAACTTATTTAACCTTTGTTAATTTCTAAACTGAAGTCATAATGAAGAGGGAAAATAAACTTATTTAACCCTTTGAAAATTGAATGGTCCTTCGAATTGAAAATTTTTAATTATACACAATTTTCTATTCAAATTATTTTAAACTGAATCATAATGAGAGGGAAAATAAACTTATTTAACCTTTGAAATTGAATGGTCCTTCGAATTGATTGCTGCTTATGTCCAGACTTTTGAGAGATGAGAGCCCTTTGAGGAATGATAGATTACTGTTATTAAAGAGATTTCCTCTTAAGCTAAGGCGCTCCAGATTCCTCAACTTCAGCAATTCTTCATCACCGACATATATACAATATTTTTTTAACTTATTTAATTAAGCAATCAAAACAATTGCACGCCAAGATATAATGTAGTCGTAAATACATTGAAATTCTATTATGATAATTGCACTGACTTGACAATAAATTCAGGTTCGAATCTCATTTTCCAATACTAAAAAAAAGCAATCAAAATAATTAATGAATGCAATGAAAAATCAATTCATATCAAGCAAATATTTAAAGCCTTCAATTTGGTTGCCTCCCATATTCAACTCCTGTAAATTCTTCAAATTATTCAATTTTGCACATATACATATGATTTTTCCTTTGTTTAATAGCTGATACACAAAAATAGAATGAGTTTAGCTATAAATACATATATGATGACTTAGGTAAAAATTTCAAATTGATTTTTCCAAAGAAAATAAAAATAAAAAGAGTGAAGTGAAAGCTGACCTTTAATATCAATAATTCCTTTGAGATTGTTGCTATACAAATTTAAAAATTTTAAAGATGAAAGACCACCTAGACATTTTAGACTGATGCTGTTGAACATATTATAAGAGCATCTCCAATGTTAACGTGGATTGTGGCTCGATGTGTCATATGAAATAGAATGTGTAAATAATGATGTGGTTGAATGTCTACTTATAGACAATGAATTTTAAAAAACTCTGCCCAATACATTAGTTTTGAATTTTCTTTCATTCTCTTTTTTCTCTATTTTCTGGGCTCACAATTTGATATGCAACCAATCACCAAAGAACAATAAATGTTAACATTGTCTAAGAGACCTCTAGAAATAGAAGGTGTACCAGACAATGTCTATTAATTTTTTTTGACATATCAGCTCGACATCCTAAATAGATATTAGCATTGAAGATAATTTTTCAAAAAGTTTTTCCATTTTTCTGATGTGGCAATTAAATAAGAGCAATCCATGTTTGTATTGGAGATGCTCTAACTTAACTCAAGAATCTACAGATTGTTAAGTGTTGGTTGCTTTTCAAAACCTGAATAAAGAATTATAATTATGAGTAATATAATTTAATAATCGTTATCTTCATTTAAAGCTGGCCTCGTTTATACTCGAGGGGTGAAATGGGATAGCAGAGATCCCGTCTCCCTTAACTAGATGTCTCGAGTTTGAACCCTGGATATAGAGTCCCTTTAAACACTTGGAGGGAGTGATGTGCCCCTTTTGTAGTCCGGCGTGAACCCGAATGAGTCGAATCAGAAGATTTCAGATATCGGATGGCTAAAACTAGAAAAGCTAGCATCGTTTATTGATTTGCAAATGATTATAATTAATTGTATAATAAAATAAATAGATAGATACCTTTATTCTTGATCCATCCAGCTATGTTGTTGGAACCTAAATCGAGAACTTTCAATTTATGAAAGGGAAGAAATAAAGAAGCATTTAGATACCACTCTTCTGAATTAGAATCTTGATCCATCCAGCTATGTTGTTGGAACCTAAATCGAGAACTTTCAATTTATGAAAGGGAAGAAATAAAGAAGCATTTAGATACCACTCTTCTGAATTAGAATATTGTACGCCGTAAAGATCGAGTTCATCAACTTCCCCAGTATTATGATTGCACTCAACTCTTGTCCAATTACAACAATTCTCAACACTTCCCCAAGCCGCCATGGGGCTATTATCAGAATGTCTGAAGGAAGACTTGAGTTGCAAGAGAGCAATTTTCTCATGCTTCAAACAACCATTACAACTACTACTTTGTAATAATAAACTCGTAATCATCAGCAATAAACTCGTAATGCATGAACAGCGTACAATAACATACGCAACTCTTTCCAATCAACTACCAATTCTTTCAATATATTGTGTAATAGAAATCAGATGTGGCTTGATGGCTTTGATCCCTTTTATAGGGCATGAGGCAAATTAATATGGAAAATAAGTGTGCATAGACCCATCTTGTGGAAAATAAATTGTATGGAAAATAAGTGTGCATAGACCCATCTTGTGGAAAATAAATTGTATGGAAAATAAGTGTGCATAGACCCATCTTGTGGAAAATAAGTGTGCGTAGACCCATCTTGTGGAAAATAAATTATTGAAAGCGCGTTAGAGTTGCTTTCAAAGAAGGTTTTTATAAAAATAGTTTATCAAATCAAAGAATTTTAATTTTCTCAATATTTAGTGTTATATTGTTGTCATTATTATTATATTATTATATTATTATTATTATTATTATTATTATTAATTTTTAGGTGAAATTTCTCAAGATGTGTATATAGTCGATAATCTATCTATAATTATATATAAAAGTGGGAATAAGGGGGGAATAATAAGATTTTATATCACCCTTAATAAAATTTAAAATGTTTTAAAGTACCCTTAATGACGGCCAATTAAAAAATTACAGTTTATTCGTTAATTGGATATAATTTATAGAAATTATTTTTTCAGTCAATCATGTGCGGCCGATTATCTTCTCACTTATGTGAGGAGTGAGATGTCTCGAGTTCAAATCCTCTCGACCATAAGTGTTTTCACAAATTTCATTATTGTATAGCCCACAGTGTTCTTTCCACCTATTATGTCTCCTAATGAATAAAAAAATTATTTTTAAAATAAATATATATAAATAATTAACCACGGACAGCTGTTCTTGTCCAGGCCCTACTTATTGTCCTCCTAATGAATAAAAAAATTATTTTTAAAAAATATATTATAAATATTAACTTAAGCATTTTAAAATTTAAGTTTTTATGCTTTATTAAATGTTTTAAGTTTTTTTATATGAATATATACGTATAATGAATATTAAAAAATTTTTTTTATATTTTATTTATTAAATATTTAATTGATTTTTAGGATAATATATATATTACGTAGTATAATTAGAAGAAAGAAAATTTTCTTTTGTGTTTGTATGATATGGTTTTGAAATTTTATTATAAAAAATAAAATTTTTCAAATAGAAATAAATATAGGTGATATTCTTATTGTAGGGAGCAAATAGAATAAATATAATATTTTATTTAGGAGAGAGATCAAAAAAGAAAAAATTATATTATTTTTATTAATGTTTTTGTTTTTTAATGTTTGTAAAGTTTGATTGGATAAATTTTTTAAAAAGTAAATTTTCAAATAGAACTTACATAATTAAATCTGGATAGTAGACGGTTGAAATTTTTAATTTTAAAAAATAATATTTTATTGATATATTTTATATATCTATATACATTAAAATATTTTTTTATTAGGTGAATTTACCAATTTGATTGTAGTGTAGTCCACAGTATTATTTTGTCCATCAAACCTCCTAATGAATCAAAAAAATAATTTTTTTGATAATGAGACATTTGAAAATTTTTTATATTACTAAATTTATTTTTAATGAATATATATGATAATGAGACATTTGAAAATTTTCTATAATTTATTTATTAAATATTTAAATCTTTTAGGATGTAGATAAAAAAAATATATACATGTTTTATTAATATTCTTTTCCTTTATGTTTGTATCATATGAGTGGATATATTTTTATATAATATTTTATTTAGGAGAGACAGAAAAAAAGAAGAAAAAAATATTATTTTTATTAATTTTTGTTCTTTATAGTTTGTCATATTTGATTGCATATATTTTGTAACAAGTAAATTTTTAAATAGAATTTACATAATTAAATATGGGATAGTAAATAATTAAATTTTAATTTAAAAAATATAATATTTTATTGATATATTTTTATATCTATATATATTGAAGCGTTTTTTTTTTTTTATATGATATGTATATAAGTAGTATGATATAGTATCTTTTTTTTTTTTTTTTTTTGAAACGTTTTGTTTTTTTGGTTAGGTGTGTTTTGGAAATTTTTATTCTGTAATTGAATAAGATTTTTTATTTCTTTTATTCGTTACGTACGTTTGTTTTTGTTAGGTGTGTTTTGAAATTTTATTCTTAATAATAATTTTTTATTTTCTTTTTCGTTACTGAATAATTTGTAACTACTATAATTTTAATTTAGTAAGAGATTTGTATCTTCCCTACAATAAATAGATGGCCTGGTTAAATAATTTTAATTTTTTTTGACATTTTCTTCTCTTATATCCTAAATCTGTTTGACTTAAAAGAAGATAGTGTTTAGAAAACTGGAAAAAATTAGAACTATATATTTTTATTTTGGATCATTTTTTGGATTTCAAGAGTTTGTGTGTTTGTTCATTTATTCCTTTCTCTAATGCATTAGGTAAGTAATAGTATCACTGTAGTCAAAATGATTATCATTATTAATTAAGATAATTTTTTTATTTCTTTTCTTTTACCTACCAATAAAAAAAATTTATTATTATTTTTCATTATAACTATATATAGATATTGATTTGCGATTGAGGGTAAGGGTTGAAGGCTGAGTGAAAACTTGATTTTCTTTCTGAGCACTTATTAGAGTTTTAAGAATCTGTTTTCATAAATTAGGAACTGAATGATTAGGTATAAGGATTAGATTAAACTTTATTTTGAGATCATTTTATTAAATAAAATAGAATCAAGTGCATAAGAAATAATTTTTGCAAGTAGCTTATACGTCATAGTTTAATACAAGTTAACCAATTGTATTTATTATAATCTAACAAAAAACTTATGTTTTAATATTATACAAATAAAAAATTAAAAGAGTATAAAAAATGAAAATATAACGAGAATTGTTAATATGCAACGTACGTTATAAAAAATAATAGTATCTATAAATGTGGGAATGGAGAGGAAAATAATAAGATGGAGATAAAAATATCTTTAGTAATTTATTATTATGACAATAAAGGATAAACATTTTAAAAAACACAGATATTAATTTAATTAGAAATTCTAATATTTTTATGTAAAAAAAAAAGAAATCATTTGAACTGATTAGGAATATTTGAATTCAATTAAAAATTCTAATTTTTATTTTATATATATATTCACGTTTATCTAACTAATTTTAGAAATATTTTTGTTTTTGAAATTCAGATCTCGTAATATAATTTTTGATTCAACGAACGGAGAACGTGCAAGACGGGATTGCAAGACTTCATGGAAGTGTTGACAATAATTAGCTTGAATTAGACGGCAAAGAAGAGGACCGAAATATTAGATATGCAATAAATTTATGACATTGAACATGAAATTCATCATAATCACTAAAGAAATTAATGTCATCTTTTCATAGGAATAAAAAAAAATGATTAAACTACAATGATTTTTTAAAGATATACAATAGAATGTCTAAATTGGTTTTTTTAAATTAAAAGCTCTTCTTTTAATTTGGCTACAAAACACCTAATAAATATGGATAAAATTGAAAAAAAAAATTAATATGCTCTCAAAATTCTAAATGAACACTTAAAGTAGAACAAGGTAAAATACCATATTTATTGCTATTAAATTGGAACACAAGAGTAACAAATAATGAAATAATAAATACTCTCATTTTTCGTTTGTCCCAAATTAGTTAATATGTTAAATCTTTATTTTTTTTTATATATATTTTCATAAGGAGGTCTAATACGTTGAAATGATACTACGGGCAATAGGGGATAGCCCTCTCCTTAACTCACTAAATTGATGAAAACTCTTATGGTCGAGATGACTCGAATTCGAGATTTCTCACATAAATGAGAAGACCAATTAGACCACAATTGGTTGGCTTCCAATGCGATTATTGATACACAATCACTTTGAAAATTGAAAATGTAAGTATTTACAAAGTTTAACTATTTTCAGTGCATATACATGACCTTAGATAATTAATTAATTTTAATTAATGTAAAAAGTCAATAATAGTGTAAGAGAGAACAGAATAATATAAGGATATATTGATTTGTCAAAAATTACAATGATATCTATTTAATAGCCTATTTATATGAGCTAACGCCTGTCTAATTACTATTATATCCTAACAATTATGTCATATCCAATGCACATAAAGAAGATTTAAAATCGAAAAATGGAAAGTTAAGTAAACTACTTCCTTGCCAGACTATTTGTAAGGCCATACTGAATTTGGGTCATCAAGAGAACATTTTCTGAGCTCATTTTCCAATCCATGGCTCACCGCAATCTGGGCTGTCTTGGGCCATTTGTACATCCAGACCGAGACACGGTTCACCGCAATCTGGGCTGTCTTGGGCTATTGTGTACATGACCTGAGACCAAGAGACAACACATGATCCCCACATGTAGCTGTAACTACTCATACAGTGCATTCAATAACTGAAACCTGGTAGACCCATCCCAAAACACAGAGAAAAAACGTTTCAGATTACCACTTCATTTCATTTAGCACAATGGCCTAATCCTCTTCATTGGACTCAGACTTGTATATCCAATTGCCATTTTCTTTTTTTCAAATACCCTTCGTTTTTTTTTTTTTTTTTTTTTTTTTTTTTTCATGATCCGATCCATCGCTGCCACCGCAGATCGTGTGGCCCTGTCTTGGGCTGCCTGTTGTACCAATCCAGACCGAGACACGGTTCTATCCGCAATCTGGAGCTGTCTTGGCTAATTGCTGTACAATGACGCTTGTAGACCCAAGGGAGACAACACATGATCCCCGCAACAATGTTAGACTGTAATCTACTCATCACAGTGGGCATTCCGGCAATAACTTGAATACCTTCTGGTAGATCCCCATCCGCATAAACACAAGAGAAAAAACGTGTTCCAGATTACCACTGTTGTCATTTCAAATTTAGCGACAATGGCCTATTTATCGGCTGTTCAATTCGGGTGACTCAGGACCTATG